TCTCTCAAGTTCAACTGGATGGGGTTCGGAATCTATCGATCCAACACGAGAAATTGAAAAATTCAACACAGAACACCTTCTTGCCTTAGCAAAAAAAAAAAAAAAAAAAAGGCGTAAGAGTTGTTGTAAACAAATAATTCATTATTTTTCGTGGTCCGCTTGACCAATTAATAACATTACAATTAATTAGTTTTTTAGTTGAGATAAAAAAGTCAGTGTCACGAGCGGGATTCGAACCTACGATCTTCGGCTAGATACGCCGCTGCTGTACCACTTGAGCTATCATGACCTCGATCGGACACTAACCTCTCATCTCAACCCCACCTTTTGAGTTAGTGGTTAGTGTCCGGGTGGATCGAGGTCAGGATAGCTCAAGTGGTAGAGCAGCTGCGTATCTAGTCGAGGATCGTAGGTTCGAATCTCGCTCGTGACACTGACTTTTTTATCTCAACTAAAAAACTTAATAAATGGAAAATTATTATTAATCGTTCTACCTTACCCATCCGTCAACCACGGTTTTCAACATTCCTTCATCAATTTCTTCATGTTTGAAAAAGATAATTAAAAAGCAATTACATCACGAAAAAGGATATTAAATGGAATCCTTTTTCTGAAATTTGCTGGTCTTTAGATTTGAAAATAGTAGTTTAGAATCACCTAGTAAGTTTTTTAACATTGAAAAAAGAATTATTTTTCAACGTTCTGGATACTAAAACGCTTATTTCACCAACGTTTGCAGGTTTAGAATTGATCACATCATATTGGAAATTTAACGTAGTTTTCAATTGTATCAACGGATTTGTCGAAAACCGTTTAGTTTTGGAGTTATCTTTTTTTTAAAGCAAGGTCGTGAAATCTTAAAAAATCAGAAAAAGGGGAGTAACTCCGAAAATGGTGAGATTAGGACCATGGTTAAGTAGGATTTTTTGATTCCGTTTTGAATGTGAAATCTACTGGAAAAGTGTGAAAAACGAGTAGCCGAACGCCCTGTATACTTTTGTACAGCCATGAAGAAGGAAGCTTGGCAAAAATTTAAAATAGAAAAATCTTCCTGATTATTGTTTTTTTTATATTTTACAATCATAACATACGTATTTTATAATATTTATGGTTTACGAATTCTACAACTAATGTACATTTTATTAGACAAAAAAAGTAAATTTAAAAAACAAAATCGACAGATAGCTTTACAAATTCCAAATACTTTTCCAGTTAAAACTACCTAGTTTAGCAAAATTTTAGCAAGTATGTTAGCTTTAATTGTTTATAAAACGACCACAAACTTGCGTATAAAAATTTAATTAAATTTTGTGAAAAATTGGAAAAATGTGGAAAACGTTTTTTCACGTTTAAACCATTATTTGATTAAATCAGTTAAGGTTTTGGTTGAGATAAAACGTCAGTGTCACAAGCGGGATTCGAACCCACGACCTTCGGCTAAATACGCCGCTGTTGTACCACTTGAGCTATCCTGACTTCGATCCACGCAGACACTAACTTCTCATCTCAACCCCACCACACCTTTTGAATGTTTCCTCTTTTTTGCAATTTTTTAAATGTTGTGTAATCTCAACTGATTCTCGGCGACAAATGAAATGTCCACGGAGAGCTTTAGTGAAGTATGTTTCATTTTGCTTATAGCTCAAGTGGTAGAGCAGCGGCGTATTTAGCCAAAGGTCGTTGGTTCGAATCCCGCTTGTGACACTGACTTATTTATCGCAACCAAAACCTTAATTAATTGAAAAAATATACTTGGTTAAGCGGACCACGAAACCTAATAAATCTTTTTATAAGTTTTTAATCTTGTCTGACCTTTCATGCTTATCTGGGGTTGTGTGTACACATTTCAAGAGAATGAAGATAATTTTGTACTCTATTTTTGCTTTGTTAAGTGGCTCTGGTCTGCAAATATTTGAGATTTTTCTGTCTGCATGCACATCTCACATGTGCTAGATTTTTTAAAACCACTTGGTCTGTTGTTTCTTACGGCCTTTAGAGAAAGGGTTTTACTCAGGGTTTTTGTTGTTTTTCTCAACGTTGTCACTTCCTTCCACCTCCCGAATTTCTATATAAAAAAACCCAAATAATTTATAATAAAAATTCCGAACCGAGCAGCCATGCCTAGGGATTATTTAATGAACCGGCTCAGTACGATAACACGGAAGGTTTTATTATGCAAAATAACTTCAGGTCCGCAGGGATGAAATTAATGGAACGAAACCTATTCATGAATGTATTCAAGGCCTGTTTTAAGTTTGAAATTGAATTTCAGGTCGGGGATTTTTTTTCTCTAGAGTATTCTCGGCCTAAAGTAACCGATTCATTCAATAAACACGGTTACACTATTTCTTATTTCACAAAATTAATTTAAAAATTTTATTGCTTAATATCACAGCTTGAACCATTTTGATTCAGAAGGATTAACAAAAACTGAACATTTGATGAATGCTAAGAACAAAGAGAAAAAACCACTCTTTCCATATATTTTTATTAACGATAATTCACTAATTTCGTGGTTCGCTTGACCAATTAATACATTACAATTAATTAAGTTTTTTAGTTGAGATAAAAAAAGTCGTTAAAAAATGTTGAAAGTGCAATGAAATGAAAGTTGAAAAATGGCAAAAAGGAGTGAAGGTTCAAAAGGTGGGGTTGAGATGGGAAGTTAGTGTCCGAGTGGATCGAGGTCGCGATAGCTCAAGTGGTAGTGCAGTATCTAGCCGAAGATCGTAGATTCGGATCCCGCTCGTGCCATTGACTTTTTTATCTCAACTAAAAACCTTAATTATTTGTAATGAATTAACGATAATGTTCTTTAAAATTATAATGACCAGGAAGATTTTTCTATTTCAAATCTTTGCCAAGCTTTCGGCACCTTATTCCTTCTTCAGGGCTCTACAAACGTTTTCAGGGTGTTCAGCTACTCGTATTTCCAACTTTTCCAGTAGATTCTACATTCAAAACGGAACCAAAAAATCCTACTTAACCAAGGTCCTAATCCCAACATTTTCGGAGTTACTCCCCTTTTTCTGATTTCTTAAGATTTCACGACCTTGCTTAAAAAACGGAGAAATTCCAAACCTGAAAGGTTTTCGACAAATCCGTTGATACCATTGAAAACTACGTTAAATTTTCAATATGATGTGATCAATTTTAAACCTGCAAACGTTGGTGAAATAAGCGTTTTAGTAGCAAGAACGTTGAAAAATAATTCTTTTATGGTGATTCTAAACTACTATTTTCAAACCTAAAAACCAGCAAATTTCAGAAAAATACTCTATTTAATATCCTTTTTAGTGATGAAATTGCTTTTTAATTATCTTTTTTAAAGATGAAGAAATTGATGAAGGAAAGGAAAAAACTGTGGTGGAAAACTAGTGAAATTAATAATAATAAAAACTAAAACATGAGGCAATTTTGAATGAATAAACTAAAATAGTTTTTAACTTAAAACTCTTTTATTCCGGGAAATAATAATGCAATAATCTTTTAATCAAAGTTGCAGTCGTGTTGGTAAATAAGTACCCAATTGCACTATTTCGGTTTCGAACCCAAATAAAAAAAAATTAATATATTTATTCAAAATTTCCTTAAGCTTTTTTTTTTTTAAATATTTCCACGTTACCAATTCGTCAATCACGGTTTTTAACTTTCCTTCATCAATTTCTTCATCTTTAGAAAATGTAATTAAAAAAGTAATTACACCACTAACATGATGTTAAATGGAGTATGTGTTCTGCAATTTGGACTTTCTTTAGGTTTGGAAATAGTAGTTTACAATCACCATAGAAAGTTTTTCAACATTGAAAATATCATTATTTTTCAATGTTCTGGCTACTAATTTTTTTTCTTTTTTTAAACCAATGTTTAGAAGTCTAATATTAATCACATGTATATTTAACATAGTTTTTAATGGGACCAATGGATTTGTTCATAACCATTCTTTTTTTTGAGTTTTCATTGTTTATTTGAAGCAATGTAGTAAAATCGTCAAAAATCAGAAAGAAATGGAATAACTCCGAAACTGCTGAAATTCGGACGGCAGTTAATTAGGACTTTTTGGTTCTATTTGAAATTTACAATCTACTAGCAAAGTTTTTAACACGAGTAGCCGAGCATCATGTATATGTCCTTTAATTATTTGTCAAATTAGAGACAAGACAAACAATTTTGTACGTACAGATTTTGGTCAAAGTTATAAATATAAATTCTCTGATTTTCATCACTAAAATCTAAATGAGGTGAGAACAAGGTACAAAGAAAAATCAAAAAAATGATTTTAGTGTTGACATGAAAATCAAAGAATTTACGTTTATATACTTTTGACCAAACATCATGGGAATATTATGTTCATACAGTTAGTCGATAAATCTACAATACAATAAAATTAAAATGTCCTGACCCATAAAACTTACTACGTGGAGAAGATCTAACATTTTTTATCGGTTTCATTCGTAGGATTTTTTACCATCGCAGGCTATGAATTGCTATAATAGTAGAGAAAGTACCTATTGGTACTATTTCAGAGTGTGCCCGTATTCCAAAAGCCTGTATTTTGGAACACCAAGACCAGAGGTCCTTCGAAAGAGAGAGAAAGCAAAGTTTTCAGCCAGGATTATAGGACCATTAAAAAATAAACTCATTAACTAAAGAGTGTTGATTTGACAAAAAATATAAAATTTTTAGAGGTTTATGATTTAAAGAACTGCTTAACATGAGGATAGTTCCTTGTTAATTTTGTATGAAATGCTCTCCCGCTCCGAAACAATTCGACGGCATCGATTTAGTCTTATGGCGACATTTAAAAATTGAAAATACCCAATGATTAATGGTTATTTGGAAGTGACAGGGCAAAGATAAAAAAAAGATAAAAAGGAGACTTTCAGGGAGCGGTAAAAAACCCAATATCTCTTCTTTGATTTAAAGAGGATTTGGGCGACATCTCAAAACGGGCCAAAGAAAATATTTTATATAGAAAAAAAATTAGCCCTCGTTCTTACCTTGAAAAGGATCCCTATACCGAGGTTCATGAAAGGCTTCGTGAAATCGATTACACTTTCCCTTGCATAATTAATAGTCATGGAGGCGACGGCAAGATCCGCCCTCTGAGGACAAAAATTAAAGAGGAATTAAACGTAATTAACATGTTTCCGGTTCGATCGCCAGTTATTAAATTCCAGGACAGTAGGGAGAGCGAATGAAAAAAATTGGCGATCTTTGGGAAAAAGGGCTTAAAAAATAAGTTTTATGATTCCAGGTTTTACCTTTTCGATGAGTTCTCGCACGATGCCGTTCCATTGTTTCGTCACTGGGTCATAAACGCCGTACATGTGGTCTGGGACCAGTCTGATAGCGTACTGAAAACCGACTCGGCTAGCTATAGACTTCAGCAGATCTATGCAGAAACCTTCAAAGCGGGCGTTTCCGGTTGAGTTTCCCTCCCTGACCATGACGTACGGCCTTTCCTGGGAAAAAATAAACATAACATGTGATTATATGAAAAATATCAAGTACCAATTAAAAAAAAAAAAAAGGTTTTCATGTTAAAATTGTTTTGTTCTAATAATACTACGTTGACAACGGACTCTCAGTGTCAATAAGTCCCAGGCTATCTCCTCCTCTACCATTACTTTTTATTTCTCCGCTCTGCATTAACAACCAAACGATCTCCAATGTTCATCTGTCAAAAATTGAAAGATCGAACTTGGTATTATACCGGAAACCCCACATTCTCCAAATCATCCGCTTCTGCTTTTCCACCTTCCGCCAATTCCGTTGTTCGCGCCAAAAATCGCGAATTATAATTGTTTATTTTGTTTCCGAAATGCCGCTAATCTAGAATTTATCCTAGCTCTGTTCCCTCCTCATAATCCGTTCCTGTTGCTGCCTAGTCCTGCTCTAGTCCTGTTCGCTTCCGTCTCGCTTCCATACAGTCCACTGTTAATTAGCCTCCAAGAGTGATTTTTTTTTAGTTTTCTTTCAGTTTTTCTCTTATTTTCAAGAAGCATTTTTTTTTCTTTCGTTTTGTTAATTTTCGCGTTCAAAATAACGCGAGTGTCTCCTCCCGCATCCTTAATGCGACACATCATACAGGGTTCGGACGGAGCCCCTAAGGTAATTAATAGACTAGGGTTCTGTTTTATCTTTGGCCAGAGTTATTGCAGGTTCTAGCTATTAAACGGCTCTCCTCCCTGGTTGTCGAGAAAATCCAGCCACAGTTAACAAGTTAGTATTTTAATTTATTTTGTACTTTATTTTATTTTGTATGTTTATTTTATTATTATAACCAAATTTTATTGCGACCGACCAGCGCGTGCACATCCGTCATGCAAGCCAACTCTTCCCAATCGGCCAATTTCTCCCTTATGTTTTTTCTCTCGAGGGGTTGCAACAGCTGTGGTCATATAAACCGTCAGGGTGCCGGCGTTTTGAAAAAAAGCCCATTGCAGGGCCGTGGTTTCGAACCCGGGACTTTAACCTTACGAGCGCCGTGTTAACGCCCAAACCGTTGCGGCCAACGACGCCCCTATCGAGCTTATTAATAAATTTACTTCTTATTTTAGAGAAGAACTTTTTTAACTAAAAAAAAACTTAATGTTCAAGCTAATTTTATACTTTCTTTGCTTGTGATTACAATAAAAAATCTTGTAGCATTTTTAATGCCCTTTCCATTGGTGTAATTAAATTGGCAGCAGGCTTAAAATTTTATGAGATATGGTGGGAAATACTGGGCAAAGTTGTGAAAGGTGGAAGTAACACGAAAAGTGAACCGACTAACCTCATGAATTATTAACGTCTACTCACTTCCTGTTAACTATAGTTATATAATTTTCCGTAGAATAAGAAATTAATGTATCTATTTCATAGGTTAGAAATATAAAAAGTAAATAAAGGAAAAACTTTTGAGTAAAGTTATTCAAAAAATTTGTTTTGGAAAAAAACTGATTCGGATTTCTTTTAAACACCCTGTAAAAAACTAACAACGAATGTTTATCATAATTTAAAAAAAACATTTTTAAGAAATTCATAATTCCTCACAGTTTTAACAAAATTTGAATATTTTCTGAATATTTTCTTTCTCATGCTATGTCAACAAATTTTATATTATATCTCACGCTAAGCGAGAAAATTAAAAAAATGAAACCAACAAAAACTCTTCAAAGATTTAATTTTTTATTTCTAGTTTTAATTTATTAAAAGATGCATACCATCATTGTAATTTTAAAAGTTTCTAAACGTCTGAAAAATGTTCTGCATATCAGTGACGCCTTTTTAAAGTTATCGGTTAAAAAACCTCGCATGTTTTGGACAACGAAAATTTCAATGTATTGTTATTCAAAAAATCGTGAGATGCGGGCTGGTGTGATGTAGGTTTCAGAAAAACATTTTCTTTATCGTGCCAACGTTTCGATCTCTATTGAGATCATCTTCAGGACCTGGGATTTACAAACATTTTTTAAATTAAATCCGAAACGTTGGCACGATAAATGTTTTTCTGAAACCTACCTCACACCAGACAGCATCTCACGATTTCTGAATAATCATCGACAAACGGTCACTAATCACCAAACATTTTAATGTATGAATGATGAAAGAACAGATTTTAATCTTGGTTAATATATACATCAAATTTAAGGTTATGAAAATGGTCTTGTTCTGCCAAAGGGCAAGATAAAATTTTATAATTTTATCAGGGTGTCATTTTTTCAAAAACATTTGACAAAACGTTAAAATAAGTAAATTGGGGATGAGGTCAGGAAAACAGAAACAACATTTATTTTCTTGTCGAGCTTTCGGAAGAATATATCGCCTTCATCAGGATTTCGAAAAATCGTTTTACTTTATCCACACATGTACCTGTTCATAAATTAAAACGATTTTTTCGATGTCCTGATGAAGGCGATATATTCTGCCGAAAGCTCGACAAGAAAATAAATATTGTTTCTGTCTTCCTGGCCTCATCCCTAATCTACCTATTGAAAAGTAAAATATTTAAACTTAGAAGGTTGATAAATCACCAAAGAAAATATTTAAAATAAATATAAAAAACATATTCGTGAAAAGGTTTAAAAAGTTATTTGAAAATACGTGAGAACGAAACATAAATCTAATACTTGGACCAAATAAGGCTCCACAAATTTAAAATTTGGCAAAATTTTCTAATATATTTATCTCAACTAACAAGTAAAAGAGGTCCAGGTTAAACGTAATTGCTAATTAATTAAGGTTTTCAGTTGAGATAAAAAAGTCAATGGCACGAGCGGGATTCGAACCCACGATCTTCGCCTTGATACGCCGCTGCTCTACCACTTGAGCTATCGTTACCTCGATCCACTCGGACACCAACTTCCCATCTCAACCGCACCTTTTTGAATTTCCCTCCTTTTTGCCATTTTTCAAATGTCAAATATGGTTGAGATGGGAGGTTGGTGTCCGAGTGGATCGACGTCACGATAGCTCAAGTGGTAGGGCAGGAGCGTATCAAGCCGAAGATCGTGGGTTCGAATCCCCCTCGTGCCGTTGACTTTTTATCTCAACTGAAAACCTTAATTAATTGTAAGATATTAATTGGTCAAGCTGACTACAAAACTAGTGAATTTAGTAAGTGCTAATTTCAATTAATTAATTTTTAATGTAAGATTTTGGTTGAAATGAAAACGATAGTCTCACCAGCGGGATTCAAACCCACGAACTTCGGCTAAATACGCCGCTGCTCTAACCACTTGAGCTATCGTGACTTCAAGGCGTATTTAGCCGAAGGTCTTGGGTTCGAATCTAACACATTAACTTTTTAATTTCAACAAAACTTTACATAAAAAGATTAATTAATTGAAAGAAGTAATTTGGTCAATCAGACCACTAAATATAATGAATGTAATTGCAAATAATAAAAGGTTAAGGTAAAATTCTTTACTTTTCTACTTTTGATTAGTTGAGAGTTAATCTTTTTGGAAGTATTTATTTGAGTTTATTTTTAACCAATATACCCTGGCTTCTTTTTAATGTCCGTTTTAATCGTGCTAATTGCTTCGCATATTAGTAGCTAATTGTGAGAAATACAGGTGAACAGTAAAAGTAATGAAACTTTTAATTGAGATCTTCGTTCACCCGAGTAAAGCCATTTTTAAACTATTCAATGGAACTAAAATGAATTTATTCGATCTACACGATAGGAATACGAATGCTTGCTAAGCATCCTGGTACTTATATAAAATGGATCTTGGCTTTTAAGAAAAAGCAATGGTTGTCGGCAAATCGTCGAAATCAAACTTTCCAAATCACCTTATGCTGATATGTGGGGGCATCTCAGTATTATCTGACTGGATGGCGAACTCGTAAACAAATATATTATCTGAGAATATAAGTTACATTTTATCAGGCCGGTTAGCACTAAATTACAATGTTTGCCGATCAGACGAAAATCTTAAAATAATTTTACAACTGTCTTTCTTCTTGTCTCATATTCATCAACCCTTATTACTCATCACAGCTAGAACAATTGGTTATTTTAAATTAATAAGACATGATATAAAGGTTCTTCTTAGTTTTATTGGACTACATATTGTAGTAAATCAATAATATCTACAAAAACTAAATAAAAAAAAAATCACCCTAATTTAAAACACATTTACTCAATAGAAAATTGGGTTTTGAAAATGTGAAGACAACGGTGTATGTTTATTTTTTGTATTTGTTGTATTGCTCAATATATAAAGGGAGTATAACATTAGAATTAAAAAGAGCAAAAACCAGAGCAAAGAAAGTTTAAATTAAAATTAAAGACATTCTTATATTTTCTGTTTCTTGTAAAAACAGTCAATCATGGATATGTAACTTAACTCAACCACAACTGAAACCCTAACCCTAACCCTAACGTTACCTAACCTAACCCTAACCCTACCATTAATCTATTTATCTATCCATATTATATATATATNCATCTATGGAATCTTCTCACCTCCTGAGATCGGTCAACCTTTCACATCAATGCTGTAAGTGATATCACTTTGTAAAATAGAGTTTTTCATACAATAATTAAAGCAAATTTTGAAATCTGGCCATTTAAAGGAAACTATTCTTTCATTTAGGCAATTCTGTCTGTCTTCCGTCTCTCTCTCTCACACACACACACTCTCATTTCCTCTCTCTCGAACTCTCTTTTTTCTATCCATCTAGTGTCTGTCTATGTATCTCCATTTATGTTTTTCTGGATAAGAGGCAAAACACGGAAATTTTATATTCGTCCGCCTACGTTTTTTTATGTTCTAAATGCTCTGTCTGTCTGTTTATCTATCGATCATTCCTTTTTACTCTCTCTCTCTCTCTTTCTCCCGGAATCCGATGAAAGTAGCAGGAAATGTAGAAGAAATTAAAAAAGTATAAAGAGAAATGATGAAAAAACAGAGAGATTCGATCCACTTTCACGGCTGTAGGATTATGCTAAACCATCATGACTTGGAGTTAT